CAATTTTGGGGTTGCCTTCTCAACTCACTGTGGTTTCTTAATGACCAAAGATGTCCTTAGCCAGGATGCTGAGTGAATCCTTGCTCAAAACTAGTGGCATACACAGAGCTCTATTTTATAGCTGCTTTGTTCTTGAAACAGCATGTTTCTATAGCCCTATTTCTTTAGATTCAAGTTAAATATTCCTAATTAATCTGTCTCAGACAGGTTATTTTATCACTTGATTGGATTTAGTTAATCTGTTTACTATTCATTCTGTTCTCAATCACTTGTATGTGCTTCCTGTGAGTGCCACAATCCTTCAGGATTAAAATGACATCTGTTAGAATCTCTTTGTGGCTTTGTCTCTGTGAGCAGTTTTAAGGTCATGTCAGTAATACCTGTGTTAACCAAAAACATAATAATGATTCTGGTTATGTGATAGAAATAATTTTTCTTATTTGAAATTTTTTCCAAAAACTTTCTAGTTATCATGTAGCATATAACTTTCAAGAGAATAAAAGTAAATAATATGGCTATGTTTATCGTAAAATTTAGCCTTTGTCATAGGTTAATGTGATAATGCCTGTCATACATCTGTACTCCCAAGTTATCTAGTACTGTGTCTAAAGGAAACAATTGAAGCAACAGGCTTTAAAAAATTTTCGTAACTAATTCTGTCCTCATCTGTTGGTTGACTTCAAGCTTTTTTCCTCCAGTTTCTTTTTTCTTTTTTGCATTCCTCTTCAACTTCTGCATTTCCTTCATTCCCTTGTTATCTTTGGAGCTAATGATCTGAAGTGCTATTATAACGGTAAATAAACATATGTAAGAGAGAAAGATGGTGCTAGTAGGCAATTTATAAGCTGATAGCTTTGTTGTTTGTTTTCTAGAAAGCTGCTGTAATACTACATTAAATTCTGACCTTGGGTGATCAGAGTGAGGCAGTTTAAAAAAAAAGTCTTTAAGTTCTTGTTTAGCAAAGCTGTAAATTAAAAATATTAAATCTATTCTGATAGCTTGATGATAACTTTGAAAAACAAATGTTCCTGTCTATGTTTTGGAGTTCTAAGAAGTTCTAACCAGAAATGTTCATAAAGATCCTATATTGAATATACAAAAAAAAGTTTAAATAAAAATTAACAGGGTATTGTTATAATTTATACCCTATTCAATCAAACAACAGACATATAATTAGTAATGTTTGTAGCTAGAAAAATTAATTGCTGAAAAAATTTTATTGTGTGAGAAGTTACTTTTAACCTTTTCATTTTTTTATTTATAGGGAATAATTATATCTTAAAATCCAATTTATTTTTAAAGAGTAAGTAAAAACAGTATCTTAGGATTTAAAACCTAGTCTGTCTCTTGTGCTCTCTATATATACACATATATATGTGTGTGTGTGTATGTATATATAAAGCCAACATATTGGTTTTACAATGGGATACATAAGATATCATCATAAGCAAGTTATTTTGTTCTCCTTTTTTCCTTCCTTCGTTCCTTCCTCCCTTATTTCACCAGAGGAAGTTCTGCCTCTATATAAAAACTCAGGTCCATAATTCCTTCCTTGCCCTTTGGTAATACTAATGACTACAGTCACTTAAACTCCATAATTAAAAGTACCTAGTCTGTCCGGGCGCGGTGGCTCAAGCCTGTAATCCCAGCACTTTGGGAGGCCGAGACGGGCGGATCACAAGGTTAGGAGATCGAGACCATCCTGGCTAACCCGGTGAAACCCCGTCTCTACTAAAAAATACAAAAAACTAGCCGGGCGAGGTGACGGGCGCCTGTAGTCCCAGCTACTCGGGAGGCTGAGGCAGGAGAATGGCGTGAACCCGGGAGGCGGAGCTTGCAGTGAGCTGAGATCCGGCCACTGCACTCCCGCCTGGGCGGCAGAGCTAGACTCCGTCTCAAAAAAAAAAAAAAAAAAAGTACCTAGTCAGTATATTAACCAACATTTCAATGTCCATTCAGAGCTAAAACTTTTCCCTTCCCTAGCTAATATTATCTATAGATGGAAGACAGTGTGATTAGCTTCTCTTTTTGTTACTTTTCTCCTCACTCACTGGCAAGTTGCTATATCTCACCCCAACAGAATCTAAAGAAGAGAGAAAGCGAGGCAAACAGTTTTTGTTGTTATTTTTACCAGACTCCTGTTGTGAAATTGCTTTACTGTTTTTGAACTTCATATGTGTTTAAGGCTGGCCCTTTTTTCTTGTGTGTACTTTTGTGGGTTCTTCACAGTCTTTCACTGGAACTATACTACATGTGACACTACAGAAATTTTTCCCTCCAGCTAGCCAGTAACCCCTAACCCTTCTAGCCCTCAGCCTAGTTTTCTTTCAGGCCATTCCACAGTAGAAATAATTCTAATTTGAATCCTTCTTCTTTCTCTTTCTCCTCTTCTTTCCCTTCTCTTCTTTTCCCCTCCTTTCTCTGCTCCTCCTCCCTTCTTCCTTTTTCTTGGTGCTGGTCTGGGTACTTCCAACCAGAGTTCTGGGTGGAACTCTGGGTAGAATTTTTTAAACAGCTTTTCGAGATATACTTCACATACAATAAAACTTACCCTTTAAAAAAATTATTTTTAGTTTTTTAGAAACAGTCTCACTCTGTCAACCAGGCTGGAGTACAGAAGCATGATCATAGCTAACTGTAACCTCAGACTCCTGGGTTCAAGTGAGCCTCCCTTTTCAGCCTCCTAATAGCTAGGACTACAACAGGCACCACTATGCCCGGCTAATTTTATATTTTGTAGAGATGTGGGTCTCCCTGTGTTGTCCAGGCTGGTTTTGAACTTCTGGCCTGAAGCAGTCCTCCTGCCTTAGCCTCCCAAATTGCTGGGATTACAGACGTAAGCCACTATGCTCAGCCTTCACCCTTATAAAGTGTATCTTTAGTGATTTTTAGAATTTTTGTGCAACCACTGCCACTATCTAAATTTTAGGACATTTTAATCCTCTGGGTAGGATTTCGTATGGGTCCAGACTGGCCCTCTGTGTGGCCGTGCTTCCTTGCCACTCTCTTATCCTGAGCAGTGGAAGTATAGCTGGCTCCTGATACAGTACGCCTGCTCACTCTTGTGTGCCCTCGCCTGTCTACCTCTTGTTGCTGCCTCAGAGTGATAGACAACACCTTTAGATTCCTAAAGTGTGTATTAGGCACTGTCTGCTGTGCCCTCCACTAACTCCGGGGAACATGTATCAAGGACTCCCAGGGGTCCCATTGAAGCTTCTTTCACTGGCTTGAGGTGAAAGGAAGGCACCTTTCCACATCCCTCCCACTTTGGAGGAGACATGAAAATCAGCACACAACTCTCTTCAAAGAAATTCTTGTGCAATCTTTGCTCTGCTCTTTATACCCTGAGTATAGGCTTTAGAGCTATCTAACCAGTTCTCAGACATATTACTTTGGAAATTTGCTACAAGGTAGTCCTTCTTACAAGTCATGTTGGTATCTGATTGCTAATAGTATCTGATCCCTCTGTTGAAACTTCCAGTTTATTAATACTTTTCATGTAGAAGATAACTCACATATCTTTAGAAAGGAATGAAGCTTCTACTTTTTTCTCTTGAATAAATATGCTATTATATCATAAAGTCAATGAGAACCTAGAGACTTTGGCGTGGGCAGGGTATCTAAATAAATAATCGCACTTCTTGTACAACCTAAGTAAAAGCGCTTTTGGCTTTTTTAAAGTAGTATCTTATATTTTCCTTTTAACTATCACATTGTGTATATAAGTAGACACCCTGGAGGCAGACTTTAAGCATAAAATGTTTTAGTAAACATTTAAAAAGGAAAGTGAAAGGACAAGACTGGCCTCATTTATAGTTGGAATTGCTTTTTTCAGTCAGGATTAAGTATCATAAATCTAAATTAAAAGAAAATAGTAGCTTGTCTTGTTAGTTGAGTAAACAAAGTCAACTTTTATCTAAAACAGATGTTTTTATAGGTTAACTTTTAAACTCCTTATTTGGCTTCTTTTCCAAATCTGCTTCTCCCTTACAATAGAAATATACTATATACGTTATGCGTAAATTGGTTTTGTCTGGGTAGAAATCTTACGAATCACTCTAAAGAACAATTTTCAAGTTGTGTCAATTTAGGAAAATTTATATAAAAGGATTTTAACTAGTTACATTTTCCTCTTTTAACGTAAAAATAGGTTTATTAAGCTCCATAGAAAATCTTAAGTTTTATCAGTATATCATCTACTTAATTGAACGCCATTGGAAAAATTGACCTGACAAAAATTTCAGGACAGACACTTTTCTGATCTTTTATTAATTCACCGTCTGTAGAATCATATATCAAAGCATGTTCACAAGCATAACCACTTCCCTTGTCATAGCCACCCAAAATGACATTTTTATTGTTACTATCATTCCTGTGTTACAATAGGGAAACAGAGGTTTAACGGAAAAGTGACTTTCCCAGGGAAAATGGTGAGTTGCCAACAAAACTGGGTCTGGAAATACTTAATTGCATTTAGTGCAAGATACACAGTTACAGTATATATAGGAGATAATAGAAATCAACTAAAGAATGGAAGAAATGTGTTCCATCTTATTCCCAACTTCCCCTACCATGGCTATAGGTTCTCCTCTCTATTTCTCTCTACTTTTATATCTGGGATGGATAGGATGAAACCTGGAACAGAAATCTGAAAGGCCTTCATTCAGTTCAGTCTGACTGCTTTGGTTTATGATCTGTATTTTTGTGCCTCCTAGTACCCTGGGGTCTCTGCCTTTTTCCATGAAATAGTCACCACCCCCATTCTCCAGTTCTGTCTCTGAAGTTGACCGTGTTGGGCTTGGGCAAGTGGTTGTTTGAGGATTTTTCCCTCCAATTCCTTTACCTTCTATGAGTTTAAGGTAACATTTAGATTGATAGCCATATTGAGAAATTAGGCAGACAGGGGGCTTATAGTCTGTCATCACTGATGTAGAGCTTTCACTACTGCAAGTACAGTTAAGTTGCTGATGCATCAACTATCTGTTACCTTTGTTTCCCAGGTAATATGCACGTGTCACTAGCTGAGGCCCTGGAGGTTCGGGGTGGACCACTTCAGGAGGAAGAAATATGGGCTGTATTAAATCAAAGTGCCGAAAGTCTCCAAGAATTATTCAGAAAAGGTAAGCTGCTGCTGCTGCTGCTGCTGCTGTTGTTGTTGTTGTTTCAGTATTCGGTAGCTAAAATACAGATACAGGGTCAGAGATTAGATTTTTGTTTCATTATTCCTGTGCCTTTGGCAGAGTATGAAAGGAATACTTTCCTTACCTCTTTTAGGGCTGAAAAAGCTCAGCTATTATCTATATTTGTTAGAATATCTTCTATGTGCCCAACATTGCACCAGGCAGCAAAAGTGTAATGGTGATTGCAACCAAAACAGTTCCTCTCAGTTTAGAGCTCACAGTTCAATGTGGAAAATAGCTATTAATAAAATATTTGGACCAGGCATGGTGGCTCACACCTGTAGTCCCAGCACTTTGGGAGGCTGAGGTTGGGGGGTCACTTGAGGTCAGGGGTTTGAGACCAGCCTGGCCAACATGGTAAAACCCCATCTCTACTGAAATTACAAAATTCAGCCGGTGTAGTGGTGGGCGCCTGTAATACCAGCTACTCAGGAGGCTGAAGCAGGAGAATCACTTGAATCCAGGAGGCAGAGGTTGCAGTGAGCCCAGATTATACCACTGCACTCCAGCCTGGGTGACAGAATGAGACTCCATCTCAAAAAATAAATAAATAAATAAATAAAAATTATATACACACACACACACACACACACACACACACACATTTGTACTGTATAAACAAATGTAAAAATGCCGCCATGACAAGGGCTAAAAGGGAGGGATTCAGTGACTCTCTGAGAAGTCATAATAGGAGGATTTGACTTGGTCATGGGGCAGAAAAGGAAGGCTCTCCTACACAAGTCATTCCTGTGCTAAGACCCAAAAGAAAAGTTAACCAGGTGAGAGGGAGGGGGAAAAGATCTGGTAGAGAGAATAATATAGGCATCCCTGTTACTCTAAATTGGAATAACATAGGGTCAACAAGTATTTTGGTGTTTCCCTGTAGAGGGGATCTCTTGGTCCAGATGGTTGTGTGGCATTGTGGAGTTAGAAAAGTTAGAGTCATCCTTTGGTTGTCCAGAAATATTTGATATCATGCCAGAAGTTGCACATGAAGATGGTGTTTGCCATTCACAGCACGTGACCAAAACTTATTTAGAATAGTAGGTGAAAAAACCAAGCTTCATCTAAAGAATCAGTCTCTAAAATTGATTTGAATGCATATATCAGGCACAAAAAAGCCTGACAGAAATAAGTAAGGATTGAGGGTAGTGATAGTTCTGAAAGCGTGGTACCAGCAACATTAGCATCTTTTGAAAACTTGTTAGAAATGCAACAATAAAACATACATTAGAGACCTACTGAATAAGGAACTCTGGGGGTACAGCCCAGCAATTTGTGTTTTAACAAGCCCTCAAGGACATTCCGATGCATGCTAAAGTTTGAGAACCATTTATAGGATAGAGTTGCTAAAGACCAGGAGCCATGGGAACCTTTTGGAAAGATGTAGGGATAATTACTGATTGAGTACAGGAAAGTATAGAGACAGGGGAAGAGTGTTTGGGGACAGGTAGTAAAGCTTTGTTGTTTTTGTTGTTGTTTTTTAATTCAGAGACAGGATTGTGAAGAAACAGTGTTAGGGCCCATGCATTGGTGCTATAACCTTTATGTCTGATGATCTTTAATTAAAGTTAGTATTAATTTAAAGAACATTTATTCATTTGATCTAATATCACAACCAAAAATCTGGCTATTTTAAATAAACATTATTGCTTTGTTTGCTTTACTTTATTTTCCAGAAAATTTTCAGAAAATTGGAAAGTATAGACACTCCAGAGTATTCAGAATGTAGCTGTGCTCCAAAGGTGTTATTGAAGGAAAGATATGTTGATGGCATTATTTAGTCAATTAATAATTGTCAATTAATATTTAAGAAATACTTTCTACTTGTGAGGTATTGTGTGGAAGATCTGAATAAGTAGGTGTCACTTTTGCCCTTAAGGAATTTATTCAGATAAAAGACACAACTGCAAATTTACCACTTCAAAACAATGTGCCAAATGAGTGACATAGACAATAAGTACTACAGATATTCAGAGGAGGAAGAGAGAATACCTCTTTTTTTTATACTAATGGCAGGATTATTGCCCAGGCCATGACTCATAGAATATAAAGCATCTTGCATACTGTAAGTACCTAAGGGTTTTTCCTTGTTTTCACATTTCATAATGTTAATAGAGATCAAATGAATATAAAGGTGTTGTCATTGAGAGGCAATTATTGCATAACATATTGGCACATTATAATTAAAAGACTTACCAGATGTATTATAAAATTAATTATGAGGTAGCTGTGTCTTAAATGCTGTGCAATAGGAGCTGGTTAGCATAAGGCCTCCAGTCTAATTCACAGAGTATTATCAGTAATACAGAGAGATTGAATTTGGTTTCTTTGGCAGTTTGAAGATTACCAATTGTCATGATTGCCAATTGGAAATTTCTATGTATTTGGAGGAAACAAATTCTTATTTGATTTAATTTATCAGAAATTTATCAGTTTTCATTCTTTGTATTTGATTACACAGTATCTTTTCATATATTTGATCACACAATATCTTTTTGTCACAAGTTCTTCTCCTGACTCTTGTAACGAATTGAAGTAAAATAATTATTAGTTTTTTTATTTTATGAATGAATGGTGGTTGTCTTAGTTCTCTCGTAGAGTCCTTATGCGTAACACTGGGAGTGGTGGGGGAAAAAAAGCGGGTAAAATATAATGGTGTCCAAGAAGTTTATTTGTTTTTTAAAAATGCTTTCTTGTCAATGACTTTTCCCCCGTATCATCTTGAACTTGCACGTTGCTCCCATTTCTTTTTCAGAATATGAGTGCAAGCATGCTATTGACATTCCTATAAGAGGGAGCTGGAAATAAGCATTTCTATTGGGGTATTATTGAACAAAGGTCAAGAAAATTGTCTGTTTCTTCATATTTTTGAGCCTCCCAGCAATTGAAGGCTTTCCATTTTTAAAAGCAAAATTGCTATGGTTATTATTCATAGGATAATGATATCTAAGCATGGCCTTGTTGAAAGACACCATCTTTAAATGAACCGCTCTTCAGAGGAGGGAAAATGTAAAATTTTTGATATTCATGCACTGCTAAACATGTAGATGAAGGTGATGATGAAAACTGGTTCTTCTTTTGGTGTAAGTTTCTTAGTTTTGTTGCCTTGTGGTTACTAAAACATGCATTCTGTATGACTACCCTGAGAAATCATAAGATAGTATTTTTTGAGATTTTCTTGTGATCTTACACATGATCGATCTTTGTAAATATTCTGTGGTTTGAAAAGAATCGTACTGTCTATTCCTAGGCTATAGCCTAAGCTCGTTAATGTTTGTGCTTACACTTTTTTTAAACTTTATTAGTCTGTATTCTTCATCTGTCAAATTCCTAGGGATAGTCAAAACTTCCCACTATGATTGTTTTTGTCTGTCTTCTTCTGTAGTTACTTATTTTCATGCAATTTTGTGTGATACATGTGATGGCTAATAACTAATATAAATGGACAAGATATTTTATTAATATAAAGTTTTTTTCTTTCTACAAGTCATTGCAATAAATTCTGTTATCTGCTCTTAATATTGCCACCTTTGCGTCATTTTTGTTGACATTTACCCACCTTTCCTATCTCTAGTATCGCTTTCCTCCTTCCTTTATTTTCACATCCTCTGTGCTGTAATTTAGATACTTTTTGTGAATAGTAGATAGCTAGATTTTATTTTTACCTAGCTGAGGAGTTGCTGTTCTTTAATTAGGAAGTTAATTGTAGTTATTGAAATAAAAGTTCTGGGAAACTTTTACTAAGAATCTTCCTGTGTTATGATTTCTCAGTTGTATGCCTTTCAGTTTATCTTCTCTTTTCTTTTCTTTTTTTTTTTTTTTTGAGATGAAGTCTCACTCCGTCACCCAGGCTGGAGTGTAGTAGTGCAATCTCAGCTCACTGCAACCTCCACCTCCCGGGCTCAAGTGATTTTTGTGTCTCAGCCTCCTGAGTAGCTGAGATTACAGGCATGTGCCACCATACCCAGCTAATTTTAGTAGAGACGGGGTTTCACCATGTTGACCAGACTGGTCTTGAACTCCTGACCTCAGGTGATCCACCTGCCTCAACCTCTTCAAGTGCTGGGATTACAAACGGGAGCCACCGCGCCTGGCCCACTTCATCTTTTTAACCGATTGAGAATCCTAGCTTATGTCAGAAAAACATATATACATTTAAGATTTTAACTTTTATATCATGGATGAATTCATGTAGGAGCTCAGTGTTCCTACATAATTAAAAAAATGCTATTCTCTTGCTTTTTATGAATAATCTTTAGAAGTGAGGTTATTGCTACCTTGGAAAACTTAGCTTACACCTGTAGTAATTGTCCAAAACAGTATTTTGTTGTTGTTGTTGTTGTTATGGAACTGTTGCTTTCTGCAGAAAACAGCTCTTTCGAATCTTGAGGTTTTAAGGTGTTAGATTGATTGATTAGTCAGAGGAAGAGACTGAATTTCCCTCACTCAGGCAAGGATATAAATCCCTTTATAAGTAATCACTTCTGATTCCGTATTTAATAAATAAAAGAATAATTAATGAAATGAGTAATTTCAATAAACAGTTAAAAAGATAATAGAATAGGCTGGGCGCGGTGG